TAAATGCACTGCCTCGGAGTCTATTCTGACTCATAGTGACCCTCTAAGGACAGAGTAGAACTGCCCCCTAGGGTTTCCAAGACTGTAAATCTTTGCAGAAGCAGAGTGTCGTCTATTTCTCCCACGAAGCAGCTAGTATGTCTGAAATGCTGACCTTTTTGTTACCAGCTGAATGCTGAATGCCTTAACCACAGCACTACCAGAGCTCCCAGAAGCCTCCAACACTCTTGTGATCTTAAGAGTTAATTGATTTTCAAGTTTGACCTTCTGCAGTTGCCTACTCCTTCCTATTCCTACTGTCCCCCTTCAGATGTCTCCTTCTCTTCCCTTCCCAGGTCCTCTTGGCCCCCTCCCCCCGTTTCCCCCAGCATCCCCTGTTTCCTTGCCCTTCAGGCCCAGGGAACTGGGCTGCCCCAGTTTTCTCTGGCACAGTTTGGAGGAGGCTCCTAGTCAGGTGACACCTGGGGTAATGGAAAAGGGAGCCAGGGAGAGGCTGCCGTATATGGAAAATCTGACTTGGTGGAGAGGGCCGGGTGGGTCATGGTGGCCTGTGAGGACGGGCTACACCCCTGGCACCTCAGAGCACGGGGCAGAGGTGGCAAATGGCTGGGCAGTCACTGCAGTGGGAACACTCCTGACCCCGGGGAAACCCAGCCAGGAGATGTCTGTGGGACAGACTGACCCGGTCTGGGGCAGCGACTTGCCTGGGTGTTAGTGGAGGCTGGGAAGGGCAGGGAGCCAGGCCCCAGTGCCGATCTAATCAGCACGGCTGCTGTGGAGGGTCTGGGCCGCTCTGGAGAACACAGGCGGCTTGTTTACGGCCTGGGAGCCTCTTGGCCCTCGCATCCTGCAGGGATTTCGGATCCACCGCCTAGATTACAAGACCCGGCTTCAATGCACCTCTGTCTCAGAGGCCCTGAGGGAGCCAGCCCCCTCCCGGCTGTCTCCACCGGTAATCGGAGCAGCGCCCAGCTTGGTTACAAGGCTCTGAGACAGAGGCAGGCTTGTGTCTTTGACAGCCGCCTTTTCCAGGTGGGGAAACCGAGGCACAGAGAGGGAGCCACCCCAGGAGTTAGTGGCAAAGGTGCTGCATCAGCCTCTGGTGAAGGAATGCCCACTAGCTCCAGGAGCCCCAGTCCTCATTCCTAGCTGGCATCCCAGAGCCCCGCTGTGGGAATGGGCGGCCCTGGGGGCTGGGTGGTCAAAGGCTGGCTGGCTGCTGGCAGTGCCAGGCCTGGCTCTCCCCAGGGCGATTGTGTTCAGAGTAACCCGACCTCAGAATGGGCAGAGCCTGTCATTCGAACCCTCACCCCACCCCACCGCGGTCCTGGCTTAACCCTTCAGGTGTCAGAGCACTGGTCTGTAGGAGGGTGTCCGGTTTCTTCTTTGCCTTCTAAAATTATTACTATTTCGTTCTCAAGGAAACCAGGATACAGCCCTCCAAGTCAAACTTTAGGTATCTCTGGTCAACTTACTGCCATTTGCTGCTTCTGTCTGGATACAACAGCCTCTCAAAGCTGTGTGACTGAGGCCAGTTCCCTGTCCATCCCAGATGCTGTTCTTTTGTACAAACTGAGTGGACTTAAATGGCTGTTAAAAGTCTCTGGCAAAATAACTCATGGGTAGGGTGTTGTGTTGTTCGCATCTGCAGCGCACCTTACCATCCACCAACCAACATCATTGAGGCCATGAAACTCCAGTGTCTCAGTCCCACACCTTTTAGCATTGACATTGACCCCTTTAGCCTGGAAGGCAAGGGAGGGGAAAAAAACACCCAAAAAAATGACAAACACAACCCCAGTAATAAACTCAACTGAATCCACTAGTTGATTCCAGCTCGTGTGTGTGACCATGACAATGACACGGGATAGGACAAGGTTCCAATTAGTTGCTCATAGGGTGGCTGTGAGTCAGTGACTCGCTGTTACTGGGAGTGTCGTTGAGTCAAAACCAACCGATCCTCTAGCTGGTTTTCAGAGAGGCCTTAACTCACATGGGAAGAGATTGCCCATCTTTCTCCCAAGGAGCAGCTGGTGGGTTCGAATGCTGGCCATTGTATTGGTAGCACAGCCCTTTACCACTGAGGCACCAGGACTCCCTGGTAGCCCTACAGGGAAGGGAAAAGGAACGCCCGTGGTAGAGTTCGTAGTCAGTTGCACGGTTAACCTAAAAGCCGCTTGTCGCAGGTGGTTCAAAATCACCAGCAGCTCTGAGGGAGAAGGGCTGTGTCCTTCCTTTATGATTTACACTCTGAGAACCTCGATGGAGGGCCACTGTGGGTTGGAACCAACTTTACAACATTTGAATTTCGAGTCTGAGGAAAGAGTAGAATTTCTAGGGCTATACATTTTTACAAAAGTGGGTTGTTAGACTTCCCCCCCTTCCCCAAGGATTAACTGGTGGGTTTGAACCACCAACCTTTTAGTTAACAGTAAAGTACTACTTTAACCACTGTGCCACCAGTGCTCTTGAGAGTTGGCTGGTGTGGGGTAATAATGTTTTTGTTGTTACTTGCTGTCAAGTTGCCTGCAACCTTATGTACAATAGCTCTGAAGCCTGTCCTATCTTGAGTCAATCTCACAATCTCTGACACAGCTACCCCCACTACCCCAGTTACAGTGTCAATCATTTCATCCAGGGTCGTCTTCTCTTGTGCTGCCCCTCTACCCTTCCAGGTATGATGTACTTCTCCAAAGACTTGTCCCCAAAGTATGTGTGAGAGAGATTAAAAATCTTTGCCTCCAAGGAACAGCTTTCACCCTCTCTAAGACAGACTTCTTTGTTCTCTTGGCGGTCCATGGTATATTCAGTACTCCAGCAGCACGACTCAAAGGCATCTGTTTTTCTTCCATCGTCCTTATTGTCTACCTCTCTGGTGCACCTTAGTCTCTAGTCTGAGACTCTGGACTCTTCAGTACTCCGGAGAGGTCCCTGACAGAAGATTTTCCCCACACAATTCATCTTCTGATTTCCCGACTACTGGTGCCGAGAGTGTTGATTATGGCACTAGACAAGCTGAAATTGTTAACAATCTCAGTCTCTTCTCTATCTATTTGATTGCTGCCTATTAGCTACTTAGTAAGCACTTGTTATATTCTCAGCCATGCCCGCACTCATGCATTTCCTTTGCTTAATCCTCACTGAGAGAGCTCTGGTGTTCAGGTGGCCTCCTGGTAAGGAGCTAGGCTGCGGTCCCGAAGGGTACACGGTGTAAATCCAACAGCTTCTCCGCAGGAGAAAGATGGGACATCTCCTGTGCGATTTACTGCCTCTGAAAACCCACTCAAGGGTCAGCTATGAGGGTTCCCACTCGACGGTACACAACAACAACAATCCTCATGGAGAGAGAGAGAGCTGTAGTCTATAAAGAGTGCGCTGCTAAGCCAAGACAGCCAGCCTCTTCCCGTGCGCCTGGAAACCTGCTGATGGAAACCTGATGAGTTGGAACCAGTCAGATGGCAGTGGAAGGGAGAGAAATACAGAAATCCTCACTGCCCTGCAAGGTGTTACCCATCTGTTTCTAAAGAGGAAACGGAGGCTTCAGGACTTTATTCCCAGGCTTCTATAAAGGGTCACAAGCAGGAGAGTGGAGAGCAGTCTCCCCGCTCCACCCCAATCATACTTACGGCCTCAGAAACCTGATGGAGGGTCACTAGGAGTCTGAATCAAACTGATGGTGGTGGGTTTGGCTTTTTGGTTTTGTAATTAGGTGAGAAGCCCTAGAGATACTGCGGTTAAATGCTTGGCTGCACACCAGATGGTGGGGGAGGGGGAGATGGTTCCTCAAAGAGAGGAAGATCGGAAGTGGCCAGGCTGTGATTTGCATGTGGATCTGTGTTGATGTGGAACCAGAACTGTGGTGGTGGCGGCCACTCATTTCTCACCTCACAAAGGGGCCCCAATTAACTGTTCATTATGGGGGTTCTGACCTTGAGGTGGGGTAGGAGGGTGATTGGCCAGTGTCTCCTGTTGGCGACCCCTTGCCAGCATCACTCTGGTGGGTTCAGCAGTTGAAGCTGAGGGTACTTGTGCACCTGTGCTCCCCCCCCCCCAATTAGGCTTGCCCAGTTCCACTGCAGGTTTGTCTACCCATAAAGAGCAGAGTGGCCTTCACCTGGGCCCCTCACCCTCCTCTCCTTTTCTCGCCTCTCCGCCCACCAGCTCACAGTTAACCAAGCCCTGACCCTGAACTCCTCCCTCGTGCCCCAGCCAAGTTTCTGTTCATTTGTTTAAGCAATACTCACTTTCACCTTTGTTTACTCCTTGGCCAGAGGGAAGGGATGGCCTGGCGGGCAGCAGTGAGAAGTTGTGGGCCACAGTGAGAAGCAGGCTTGAGGTCAAGCTGCACTTTGAACCCAGCTCTATGGCTTTCTAGCAGAGAGACTGAACCACTGATGCAACCAGAGCCTCAGTTTCCTTTCTGAATGTCAAGAGTGGTTTGCAAGGGTGCTGAGCCGAAGAACCCAGCATGCTGCTCTGCACTTACCTCTGTTGGCCACGCCAGCCCCCACGCTTCCTGGGGTGACTGAGCCGCACGACTTCTATAAACTAAGGACTAGATGTGGGGGGGGCGGGGGGTCTTCGGCCTTGTGGGTTTGTGGAACCCTTGTCGAGCAGCCAGGTCCTCTGGAGAGGAGGGGAGATGGCAGGCTAGCTGCAGCCTGGGAGCCAGGAGTCCCAAGTTCCAAATGTAGCTCTGTTGCCAGCCGTTGGTTGAGTGACCTTGACAAAGTCCCTTGTCTAGTCCATTCGGTTACAAAACCAGAGGGTTGGGCTCTGTGACCTCAGATACCTTTTGTTGGCAGGTGTTTGGCACTGTGGAGCAAAACAGCACCTACTCTTCTCTTTCCCCTGGGAGTGCAGGAAGCTTCCAGTATGGTTAACCCCCAGGCACCAATGCGGGGTGTCCCTTCCCTCCAGCTATGGAGGCCAGCAGGGTCTATGGGATCCAGGACCGTCGGTCCTAATCAGCTGGTGATTTCTGTTGTGCAGCTGTGAGGATGAAGATGCTGGGAGAACCTGGGGGCGAGGGCGGCAGCCTGGGCATGCGTACACATGTGAGTGCACGTGCCTGGGCAGGGGTGGGGTGAGCTCAGAACAACACATCACAGAGCCAGGAGCAGGGTGGGGTCCCTCTCTGGTCAGGACTGGGTCTGGCTGCTGGGTGGCCTGGTTCTTCAAAGCTACCCTAGACTGAATGGGCCTTGTCTGAAGAGGGCGGGGGAGCGGAGAGCTACTGGCGCCTTTCCCCCCTCCCTTGCAAAAAGAAGAATGAGTGCCCACAGTCCCATGGGGCTTGGCCCTGTCTTGCTGGCCTGGTCTTAAAGGGCTCTCACCCCAGAATTTTTTCACTCTTGGGGATTGTGGACAGAGGTGCCCCTGAAGCTTGAGGAGGATCCTATTTCCTATGTCCCCCTGTCACCAAGCTGCTTCCCTGCCTCCTGACTTGTGGTAGGAGGCTCACATGATGCCTGCCTGTGAGAGGAGCCTTGTAGGGGGTCCCTAGGTTTACATTCGGCCACTAACATAACTTGTTAGCAGTTTAAATTGTCTCAGAGGTGCTGCGGAAGGAAGACTTGGTGATCTGCTTCCAGAAAGATCACATCCGAGAACACCCTCTGGGGTATTGGTACTCTGCAACACGTGGGTTCATCAGGAGTCAAAATCAACTCACTCAGTGGCAGTGGGATTTATTTGTTTGGGTCTTGAGTCTTGGGGGTTTAGTCCTGGCTGTGCCTCTGGCCCTAAGTGACCCTAAGCAAGTCCTTCACCCTCTCTGGGGCATTCCATTTGTAAAATGACTCATTAGGGATGACCAGGCTTCCACCAAGAGGGAGGACATCTTGGTTTAGACCTCCTGTGGCTGTTTTTCCATCCTGAGCTCTCATTTCTCTTACGTGAGACAAAGTAATTACAATCAGCCAATCATCGTGCTAATCTCTTGGCTTGTTTTGAAACAGCCCTGAGCACTTTCACACACTAAGGAAAGAGAGGGTTTGTAAACAGCATTCCAGGGTCCTGGGGACCGGGAGGGGTGAGGAGGGTCTCTTTTGAGAAGAGCCCAGTGCTGGAACCTAGGCTCCTACCTCAAGAACTCTTTGGGCCAGCCTGGTCCAGGCTCTATCATCAAGGGCCAGAGTTCCTTCTTTGCCCCCTAGGCAAGCTGTCACCTCACTGGCTGGCAGCCCTGAGTCTGAATGCACTCAAGCGTGGATTTGTGTGCCTGTGGTTAAAAGCACAGGTGACCCAGGCGTGGATTCTGGGTAAAACTAACCCAGAGGATTTTCTAGGCTGTCATCTTTCCAGGAGCAAAATTGCCAGGTCTTCCTCCCGTGGGGCCGTTTGAATCACCAGCACTGCTGATGAGTGGGTTCTGACCCACAGTCCCCCTCCACCAGCGTGGTTATCTGCATAAGGATGGGGTCAGTGCTTAGGGAACCTCCCCCTCGGGTAAGGCAGATTGTGCAACCCCAGAGGAGCTTCCAAGCCAAAGCCACAGACAGGCACAGGCTGTGGGGGGAGGACAGGGGGCTGGGATTCCTGTGCCAGCAGCTCACCAGCTCCTGATTCCCAAGTCGTGAAGTCATCCTTAACCCAGCCTTAACCCCTTTTGGTTCCCCGCCCCCACGGTGCCAGGCGGTCAGCAGATTACTTGCTCCGGGGGCAGGGGAGTGCCTGCCCACTACCTTCCGGCTCCCTTCCAGGAATCCAGCCTCCCATCCTGCCCTGCGGAGGTGGAAGAGGGCATGGCCGGCTGGACCCACCCCCTCTCCCCGGAAGCCAGGGTGGGCACTGCAGGAGGAAGCCGGCCTCCGAAGTGACCTTCCGGGGACTGTGCCTCGTCCTGGGAACAGATACTTCTTCTAGACCCTCCCAGCCTCGCTGGCAGACTCAGCTGGGCCAGTGAGAAATGGGGATCCAGGCCCTTTTCCACTCTGTGTGGCTAATTCGCCGAGCGACCATGGGCAAGTCTCTCCCTGATTAGGAGTCAGTTTTACTTACCGTCTGTCAAACAGGTCGGCAGGTGCAGCTGTCCAGCCTGGGGCTCCCCAGTGGAAGTGCTGTGGTGCCTGCAGACCCCCAGGGAGCGCTGGTGGTGGAATCCCAGTGTGCTGAGCTAGCCCCAGTCCACCCATCTCGGGCTGCTTGAATCCGCCAGCGGCTTGGCTGACTGGCTACGAGCTGTATTTTAATATTTGAATCAGTGAGATGTGACCCTGGTTAGTGACTGCGTTCTGTTGTGTGCGCTGCTGACTCTTGTTTGAATGTAGAAGCCAGAGCTGCTTAGTGACAGTGGGCATTCAGAACGTTATTCACCCTTCCCCTCCTCTGTACTGCAGGAGGTTTACTGTGGCCTAGCCCCCAGAACCCTCCAGTGACTTAGTGGTAAGGAGTTGCGCTGCCAGGCCAAAAGCACACAGTTCAAACTCACCAGTTTCTCTCCAGGAGAAAGATATGCAGTCTCCTTCCATGTGATTTACAGCCTCAAAAAACCCCACCCTTCGGTGTGTTGATAACACACAACATATCCCTTTCCGTATGGATCACAGCGCAATCGAAGAAAATCAGAGTCCTTATAACTGGACCAAGAAGCAACATCACGATGAATGAAGAAAAGGTGGAAGCTGTCAGGGATTTCACTTTACTTGGATCTTCGATGCCGGTGGAAGCCGTAGTCAAGAAACCAAATGGCAGAATGTATTGGGAAAGTCTGCTGCAGAACATCTCTTCATTTATTTGTTTTTATCATGTAGCAAAGTGATGACACAACTCTGCTTGC